GACTCCTGAGGACGGTAAGTGCCTTTCTCACTTTTGCTAGTTAGCGAATAATTAAATATTAATGAAGAGATTTCTAGGAAGAGCCCTTCTCCGGGGCAGGCCTTCCGCAGAGGGGCGCCGGGAGGAGGTCTGCTCGTGAATCCGCAGCCTCCGCCGCTGGCCAGGACTCGGGACCTTCGCCACCATTCTGGGCTTGGAATTTGGGGCGCACGGCTCCCAGGTTCAGGTGTGCGGGCCATTTGCCGAGAGAAAGGCACCGAATCCATAAAATAGCGGCAGCGCAGCTCCACCAGAGTAGGCGGGAAGGAGGAAGCGCCTTCCGAAAGGTTAGCTGTGCTGGGGAGCGGGGTTCGGGAGCCACCACCCTTTCTGAAAATGTGTTCCCCGCCGGCCCTGCACTGACGGAGAGGGGATTGGGGGGCCCTGGTCCCGCCGGGCCGAGCCGGGCCGGCCGCGTGAAAGGCCCTGGTGGGAGCTGTTGTTTATGGCGGCATAAAATGAAAAACAACTCATAACTCTGCGTAATAAATCCCCCTTTATAGTTTTTATAGCAGTTTTTGAAGGTTGTGTATTTCATAGTAGAAAGCAAGCATCAGGTTGTTTTATACATAAGAGCACTAACTCAATCAAGTGGTTTTAACAAAAGCATTGCCGTCACGACGGGGCTGGAAGGTAACGCTGGAATTCATTTCTGTAAAAGTGGGGTCTCCGCAGGCCAGCCAGGCCCTCATTGCATTTTAGTTCGCCGGCCCTCGCCGTTTGGGACTTTAAAAAAAATGCGTGTTGGGACTTGTGCGTGCCTTCCCTGTTACTGTAACCCGTACCTGTGGGGACGAAGCTGCGTTTTAGTAGGGTCACATCCCGGGTGCGACTTCCCCGCACTCCCCCCAGCCTGTGATGTGGTCTGGGTAACCTGACAGGGTGCTGAGGCCACAGCACACTGGCTGGGGAGGGGCGGCCCGTTTCCGTCACACCCCGGACTCGTGAGCTGGCACTTGGAGGCCTGTTTCCGGGAACTTGGGCAGAGGCCCGAGGAGCCCAGGTCTGCCTTGTGCCTCCCTCTCCCGGGGCTGCCTGGCTCCCCGATCCCGATCCCAGGAAGGACCCCGAAGAAGGAGGGCAGTTCAGTGAGGTCTGGCCCACCTGGCCGCGAGGCGCTAAGTTTGCTTGGCTGCAGGCGACCCTGGCCGGCTGTTTGGCTAGGCCGTTGCCCCCCTCCCATCCCCCACCTCTCATTTTGAATTTTTATTTATGACTGTATCCGAGGCAGTTAGCAGACACGAAACCTGGGGTGGAACATTCGGGAGTGATCTCAGAATGGGGTGCCGCCGCGAGAGCGTGTGCTCCGCCTGGGAGCGGTGCTCGGCGTGGTGATGGCGGTGCCGAGGTTGGTCATTATAGGAAGCTCAAGTGCTGGGGGTTGGGGGGGGCTGGGGCTCCCCTGCAAAATGTGGGAGGCTTTTTCTCTGGGTCCACGGATGACCCGTAACAGTGCCTGATGGGTGGGAATGGGTGGCATTGTGCTGAGGCCATTGGGCGTCCCCCAGGATTAAAACATCCCCCCACACGGGGCACCCCCTGCTCCCCCACGGCCTGCGGGCCAGACACGAGGGACAGGGACAGGTCTGAGCACCCCAGGACGCACCCCCCCCAGCCACTTTGTGGGGGGTTGCTATTTGGCAAAGCCCCAGAGGCCCATCTCCTGCCCTGGAGTGGGCCCCCGGCATGTGGGATGTGACAAAGTTGAGTCTCCGGGAGGCCGTGGGGCTGCCTGCAGGCCCTGCCTTTGTCCTTGTTCCCTCGGGCAGCTCCTCCAGCGCAGGCTCGCCCACCGGGCCTCCACTGAGCTGGCACAGCCCATCCAAGCACAGTTTTATTTCTGACGACGCGCACACAAAGACAAGGACCCGAAAACGAAACTGCGCCTGTCTTCTTTTTTTTTTTTTAAATCACTTCTGGATTCAATAGACTGTGCTAAGCAAGGGGATAGGTTCTCACGGCTGGCAGGCTGCTGGGAAGATGCCTCCACCATGCCCGGCCTTGAGCATGCCATGTGGGCAGGCACACAGCATTTGCTTTGCTCAGCCGGAAAGTGGGGAGCTTTGCAGTAGGGTTACTTCTGGGTCCGCGTGGTTCACTCCCGTCTCACGTGCTTCCGCCCTCAGAAGGCTCAGGGCCTGTTCCATTCTGCCCTGAACCGGGACGGACTCCGAGGCAGCCCGTGGGGCCCGGGAGGGGCTGGAGGGCCTTGCCCACCCTGGCGGGCACCCCGTGTCTGGGGAAACCTCTTGGAAGACCCCAGCGTGTGCCCCCACTGAGGGCCCATGTTCTGGAAAATAGGGAAGCCCTTCTAGGCCAGGCGGGAAAACATCTGGGAACCCCCATGCTGGGTCATTGTTGGGCTTGGGGATAGATTTGCACGTTTAGGGAAAAGGGAGAATTCTCTTGCAGAAGTCCCGTTAAGCAGGGGTGGGAGACTAGGTCCCTCTTGTCACCCCAAATATATTTTCAGTGCAATTCTGCTCCAACCTGGCTCCTGGCTCAGTGTGTGACCCTAGACAAGTCACATCACCCCCCCCCGGGCCCGGGCCCCGAGTTTGAGAGCAGGGCTAGGAATGCTGACCCCAGAGGCTCACTCCGAGGGCTGGGACGGCTTCAGTCTCACAAAGCCAGGCCCTGGCACGTGGCAGGGGCGCCGTAAATGGCTGCCCCTGTTGTAATTGTTATTGTTGTAAATGGTAATCACCGTTTCTATTGCCAGTTATCATTATATTTTTGAGTTTGTGAGAAACAGGGAGCCGTTTTGGTTTCACTAGAAAGGGCCCCTGGGATGCACCCCCCATCCTCACCCCGGCCCCACAGGTGGCAGGATAATGAGCCCCAGCGATGTTTTCAAGGGAGCCCGTCCCGCGCTGGCAAAGTCTGGGCTCTTCTTGTCACGGGGACTCGGCGGGAGGCACTGGGCACCCCAGGTGCGCCCAAGTTCCCTGGGGGTCCCGGGGTGTGCCCACAGAAGCGGTACCCCTTCCTTTGAGCACCACGCCTGCCTGGCTGGCCAGGCTGGTGGCAGTGTGGTGGGAGGAATTCAGGAATTCAGGACCTCATTCTTCCTGGGCCCGATCCGCACGCACACGGACCAGATGCCGGCCTCTGCCGCGGGAGGAATTTGTCTCCGAGGGTCTGGGAGACCCGGCGAGCTCGCCCCCCTCCGCAGGTCTTGTTGGAACAAGGACGAGCCCTAAAAGGCACCGGCCATGCTTTCTGATGTTCTGGGGCCAAAGAGGAAGAAAAAGCAACAATTGTCTCCGAGCGAAGACAATGGGCCTTTTATGTGAAATATTTATTTTCAGGGCCGACCCGGGTCCCGTCGGCTGGGACCTCGGCGCTCGAGTGTCTGGGTAGCGCAGGTCCTAGGAGCTCAGTCAGGGACAGAGATTTATAGAAAAGGAAGAAAGATGGTCCCCCGACCCGTGGCTCTGGGGAAGTTTCGGTGGGAACGCCTGGCTTTCTTTGTTCGGTGGAGTTTAAACTTTCACAAGTTTATTTTGTTTTCTTCTGTGGCTTTTCTCCTGAAAGGCCGCAGGGGCGTGAAGCAGGGGCAAGGTAGCCAGGGTTGGGGTCGTGGCCGGAGGGGGCCTCCCTCTCCCCGGCCCTGCCGGCCTTTGTCTGCTGGGGGGGTGGGGGGAGGTGTCGCCGAGTGGACGTGAGGAAAACAGGGACTGGAGGAGGAAGGGTCTGTCCCCGGGTTGGGAGTGGCCGCAGAGAGCGGGTTTTGGACAGTATTTGTGATTCTCTGGTGTTCTCTACTCCTCCCCCAATCCCATTCTCTGATGAACTTGGGAGTGGCCTGCAGGTCCCGGAGAGTCTAGCCTGACCCGTGAAGCCCCACGCAGCCCTCAGACCCGCTGCCCTGCTGGAGAGGCGGTGTAACCCCGGAGGAGCCCGGCCAGAGTTAGCGCTGGACGGAAGTTTGCCGCATTCATAGAATGAACAGAATTCCCTCTGAGGCTGCCGGCCGGCTGGCCACCTCCCCACTTTAAAACATGCTCCGTACATGTCAGGTGATTTTTTCCCAAAGTCAAATCTGACAATGTAATAAAGTGCTTTTCCCAACACCACCACTATCTCTCCCCACCAGTCCCATAAATATAAAATTGGGCGGGGGGGAGGCCACAGTGGACAATGGGACTAGACCCCAGCCAGCTTAGAGGGGCCTGGGTGTGGACGTCCCTGCCAGGCGGGTGGAGGGCAGGAGAGGGTGTGAGCCCGAAGGGACGGGGGTCAGAGTCACCTCCCTACCAAGACTCTTTCTCGCCCCCAAAGATTTTGTTGGCAAATGCTAATGTTTGTCTTCAAAAACGAGGTTTTATTTTTTTAAAAAAACTTCAGTTGCATCTTTAAAAAAAAAAAATCCTGGAACCTCTCAGCTGCAATGTGTCCCCCCTTCTGCATTGCCCCCCCCAGCCCCCACACACTGTGAAGAGAGCTGTCTTTTGTGGGGGCGGCCACCGCAGCCTCAGGCCGGGGTAGGACCAGTCAGCTGGAAATGGGGCGACTGAAATGTCGGGACACAGGACAGAGGGACCCTAAAACAAGCTTTTATTCACCTTTTATTGGAGGGGGGGGGTGTAGTTCAAAAATAAAATTCAAAGTTTGAGTTGGAGACTTGTTTGAGTCGGGGTCCAGGAGCCTGGCCTGCCCGGACGGCTCAGAAACCCGCGTGGACGACGAGGCTGCAGACGGGACCTCTGTTTGTTTAATCAGCGGCCGGAGAGGCTCTCTGGGCTGAGCTGTGACCCGCGGGCAGCGGCAGCCGCTCTCACGGCCAGCGCGGCTGGTCGCCGTGGTCAGAAAACATGTGCCTGAGACGGACAGACCGAGCAAAGAGGCCATTTTTTTTTTTCCCCAGGAGTAACAGATTTCCCCCTCCAGGTTCATCAAGGAATTCCGCTGGCTTCCCGGGAAGGGCCCGCGCAGGTCGGGATTCCAGGGGGCTGGAGGGCGTTAGCTGAAACCTTTACCTGCTGATTTGGGCTCTTCAGTCTACATTCGCCTTCCACGTGTTTCAGGGCGATTTGTCCCTTCAGATCAGCCGTTTGTAATTACATTTTAAATGATAACAAGACGACGGGGCCGGGCTGCAGCCTGCGCGCGGTTTGACGGTAAGAGAAGCTGCAGCACATGGCACGGGGGTTGCACATCCGTCATCCAGACTCGCCTGGGCTCCGGGCCGGCACTGGGCCTGCAGGTTCGGGCCTGCGGGGACACACGTGTGTCCTGAATGTGTCAGGGTCCGTCCGTGCGTGTCGTCTGTGGAGCCCTCCCTGCCCTGCCAGGGGGAGACGGGCTGGTGGAGGGGATTCCGTGCCCGGCACCGCGGCGGTGCTGCCGAAGCTCTCGGCACACGGCCCATCGGAGAGGGACCCGCTGGGCCCGGCTGTGCTGGCCCTCGTCCTCAGCCCCACGT